GTGTGTGTGTGTGTGTGTGTGTGTGTGTGTGTGTGTGTGTGTGTGTGCGCGCGTTAACTACCTGTCTGTCTTTCTCTGCCCTCAGAGTGTGCATATCTCTCTCCAGACTCTGTTTTTCCTTCAATATTTCCTCTCCCAGAGACTCCATATCCTGATTGGTCAGTCTCTCCTGGTCCAATAAACCCTGGAGACGGTCCAACTAACAAACACACAAGATAAACGTACTGTAGATTAGTAAGATGCAAATGGGTAACAGGTAACAGAAAAAGAATGGATGTGTCCACCTACCTTCTTGCTGAGGCCTTGGTTCTCCCTGTCTAGCTCCTGGGTGTGGAGCTGCTGCTCCTGCAGGAGGTGGTTGTCCTCTTTCAATCTCTCTACGGAGGCCTGAAGCTCCCGGTTCTCCTTCTCCAGCTTCAACACCCGACTGGAAACACACTCGTTCAGCTCATGGACCAACGACTTACGAGCTGCGGCACAGGAAAAAATCATTTGGTTTGGACAAAATATAATAAAACAACATGTGTGGACACACAAATAGAAGTAGGTAGAACAGAATATAACAGCATGTCTTACTCTCTGTGTTAGTGTTGTCATGGTTCTTGGTCAGCTGCTCCAGCTCCCAGCCCAGATGAGCCGACTCGTTCATACTCTGTTTCTGTCCGATCTCCAGCAGCATGTTCTCCTCCACCAGCTCCTCCAACTGCAGACGTTCATTGTCCCTCTCCTGCTCAACACACACACGAGATCATATTCTTTAATAAGGGTGATAATAGGCAATCATTTTGGTCTGATATCTGGGGCTGGTAATGTGAAAAACTCCCGAATAAAACCATAGATTTAAAAAAAAAAAAAAAATTCTGAATATGTTATGTTTACGCCACAAATAATGAGTTTCAGTTTAATGTGTAAAAACCTTTAAAACAGCAGATACATGTCATTTTGACTCATAAATTGTTGACAATTACATTGTGTCATACCATTTCCAGGTCGTGTATTTTAGCTCGAAGTAACAGGTTGTCTTTCTCCAGCGTGTGCAGTTTATCACAGCGCCCCCTGGAGGCGGAGAGCTGCTCCTCCAACAGCACCTTCGTCTCCATCAGAGTCAGGTTGTCCTCCCGAAGCTCCTGTATGACACCACACACACACACACACACACACACACACACACACACACACACACAC